AGACGGGGTTTCACCATGTTGACCAGGATGGTCTCGATCTCTTGACCTCGTGATCCACCCGCCTCGGCCTCCCAAAGTGCTGGGATTACAGGCTTGAGCCACCGCGCCCGACCTGATTTTTTTTTTTTAATAGAGTAACAATCTTGACAAACATGCTTGGCTAATTTGGTTCACATCAAGAAAAAAACAATCTTGGAAATTACTGAAGTTGACTTAAACTCTTTATCTTTTGCCCTCCTAGGGCCTGGGTTCCAATAAATAATTGCTACCTCATGTCTAAAGAAATTCCTTTTTCTGTGAAAAAGACTAAGAGCATCTTCAACAGTGCCATGCAAGAGATGGAGGTTTATGTGGAGAACATCCGCAGGAAGTTTGGTGTTTTTAATTACTCTCCGTTCAGGACACCCTACACGCCCAACAGCCAGTACCAAATGCTGCTCGATCCCAGCAACCCCAGCGCCGGCACGGCCAAGATAGACAAGCAGGAGAAGGTCAAGCTCAACTTCGACATGACAGCGTCCCCCAAGATCCTGATGAGCAAGCCCGTGCTGAGCGGGGGCACGGGCCGCCGGATTTCCTTGTCGGACATGCCGCGCTCCCCCATGAGCACAAACTCTTCCGTCCACACGGGCTCCGACGTGGAGCAGGATGCCGAGAAGAAGGCCACGTCGAGCCACTTCAGCGCGAGCGAGGAGTCCATGGACTTCCTGGATAAGAGCACAGGTGGGCCTTGTGCGGGGGAGCTGGGTGGAGACCGCTTGGACACAGGGGTTCCCGTGGGTGCACACCTGGCGGGCCCAAGCAGGCGAGCATCACAGCAATCATGGGGAACTGCAGGGGGCCACAGAGCAAATTTTCAACAAGTCACCAGATGGGATTCTTGCTGCTAGGGACCCAGAAATGAGAAAAGTATCCCCAAAAGGCCACCTGAAGGTTGTACCTAGAAGTAGATGGAGATGGCCGGAGGTCCTTTGGAGTTCTGTTCAGATGTCACTGCGTTCTGCATTAATGATTTTCCGTAACACAGTTTTCTTTCCTAAGAATTTTGTTTTAGTTGAAATTGTATTTTTCTATCAAAACCATACATTCACACTAAACAGCGCAAATGCTAGAGAAACACATGCTATACAAAATAATACTTGACCAGGCGCCGTGGATCATGCCTGTAGTCCCAGTACTTTGGGAGGGCAAAGCAGGCAGATTGCTTTAGCTCGGGGGTTCCAGACCAACCTGGGCAACATGGCAAAAACCCTGTCTCTGCCAAAAATACAAAAATTAGCTGGTCGTGGTGGCATGTGAATATAGTCCTAGCTACTCTGGGACTATAGGTTGAGGTGGGGGGGATTGCCTGAGCTGGGAGGTTGAGGCTGCAGTGAGCCATGATTGCGCCATTGTATTCTAGCCTGGGTGAAGTGTGATCCCCTGTGAGACTCTGTCTCAAAAAACTATAAAAAGAAGTAAAAAATAATAATAGTACTCTGCCTTCCCAGTGTGATCCCATTCTCTTATAGGTCATATCCTTTAATAGTTGTGTTGTGTTTTTTCTTTTGTGACATAGTCTTGCTCTGTCACCCAGGCTGGAGTGCAGTGGTGTAATCTTGGTTCACTGCAACCTCCACCTCCCCGGTTCAAGCGATTCTCGTTCCTCAGTCTCCTGAGTAGCTGGGACTACAGGCGTGTACCACCGCATCGAGCTAATTTCTGTATTTTTGGTAGAGACAGGGTTGGTCTTGAACTCCTGACGTTGAGTGATCCACCTGCCTTGGAATCCCAAAGTGCTGGGATTGCAGGTGTGAGCCACCACGCCTGGCCTAAAGTCTTAAATTTTTAAGTAAAACCTCTAATTCTTACATGTCAGGTTTTTAAGTAAAATCTCCAGTTGTTAAATGTCAGGTTAAAATGTCTTAGAAGATTTTCTAGAATGAATAAAGCAGGTTGGAGTACCAGCTTTAGGCTTCTGGCCAAAGGCTTAACCTTGGACAGCCTTTCATACTCCCTTCCTTTCTCAGCCTCTCTCTCTCTCTCTCTCCTTCTTTCCCTCCCTCCCTCCCTTCCTTCCCATAGCAATCCTTTAAGGAGCAAGCATCAGTTCTTCAAGAGACCACAAATGTTCTCAGAAGTTAAAATATTAAGGTCTTAGTCAATTGTGAGCTCAAAGAATCTGACTTTGCTTCTGTTGTTTCTTGGGAATTTTTTTTCTTTTCCTTGGGTTATTTTCAAGAAATGCTTCTAGCTGCTTCCCAGATGGCTATAGGGGAGGAATAGAGAGAGCTAGTGGCCTGTGGCTTTTAATTCTGTCAAATAAAGGCTGCAGTCTGTCTGTCTCTAGTTCTCATTCATAGCCATGTGGTACTAGACACTCAAGGTTGAGTCGTAGAGTTTTGTTTTGGAATTGACATAATTTGTGTTGACACAGTTTCAGAAAAGTCTTCCTTTTTGCCCCCTTGTTTCTGACCAGAGTCCTTAAAAGCTTACTCTTGTTCCATGACACAGTTCCATTTAAGCCAAGTTCACAAAATTGGTACTTAATTACACAAACCCTTCGGCATATTAATTCCCATAAAGAGCATGCTTTTCAGTAAATGTTTAAAATTTTAACCTTGGCAGCGACTTTGTGAATTAGTGTTGCCTGAACTTTCATTGCCATGGTTTTCTGCCATGTTTTGTTACATACTTAGATATTAAAATTGTAACTGAGTTTTGTCCTAAGCTAAACACAATGTATAGGCTCGTGTTTTTAAATTGCTTGTTGTGGTTTTTCCTAATATATGTGAAATTAATACATAACTAGTAAAGCGAAACGTGGTGTATATGCTACCATTGGTTCTGTACCACACTGCAAAAAATTCAGTTTTGTAGGAATATAAGAACACGGCTAATGTGTTTAGTTTAAAGGAGAAAGATAAGTGAGATCAGACTTCCTGGCAAAACACCTCATTCTTTTGAGTGGCTTTTTTTTTGTTTTGTTTTTATTGTATTTTAGGTTTTGGGGTACATGTGAAGAACATGCAAGATTGTTGCATATGTACACACTTGGCAGTGTGATTTGTTGCCTTCCTCCCCGTCACCTTTGAGTGGCTTTCTTAGGTGAGAAGTTAGTAGAAGCCCCCATTTCAGTAGGCTTTAAAGTCCCTTTCCTAAAATATAATCTCCTTGCTGGCATGTGCTTCGGTCATTTTACTAATCATGAATTAGCCAATGTTTTTTTTTTTTTTGGAGACGGAGTTTCGCTCTTGTTACCCAGGCTGGAGTGCAATGGCGCGATCTCGGCTCACCGCAACCTCCGCCTCCTGGGTTCAGGCAATTCTCCTGCCTCAGCCTCCTGAGTAGCTGGGATTACAGGCACGCGCCACCATGCCCAGCTAATGTTTTGTATTTTTAGTAGAGACGGGGTTTCACCATGTTGACCAGGATGGTCTCGATCTCTTGACCTCGTGATCCACCTGCCTCGGCCTCCCAAAGTGCTGGGATTACAGGCGTGAGCCACCGCGCCCGGCCTTAGCCAATGTGTAGTGAAGGATGAGAGAGGGATATTGAAAATTTTTTTAATCTTACAAATTGCCCCCTTTTCTGTCAGGGGCTAGATAGTATGTATTTTAGGCTTTTTGGGTCTTTTTTCCAAAGATGCAACTATTTAGTCGTCGTTGCACTAACATAGCCACAAACTGCTGTGGTCCCAGCTACTACAGGGGCTGAGCTGGGAGGATCAGTTGAGTCTGGGAGTTTGAGGCCACAATGACCTATGATTGTGCCACTGCACTTCAGCCTGGACAATAGGGTGAGACCTTAGCTAAATAGATAGATAGATAGATAGAGAGAGAGATAGATAGATAGATAGGCAGAGGGAAAATAAAGCAGTCATAGTGTGTGGCCGAGTTCCAATAAAACTTTTTTAATGGACATTGGAATTTATTTTTTTATTTTTTATTTTATTTAATTTTTACATTTTTTGAGATGAAGTCTCGCTGTGTTGCCCAGACTGGAGTGCAGTGCCATGATCTTGGCTCACTGCAACCGCCCCTTGCTCGGTTCAAGTAATCCTCCTACCTCAGCCTCCCAAGTAGCTGGAATTACAGGCCTGCGTTACCATGCCCAGCTATTTTTTGTATTTTTGTAGACAGGGTTTCACTTGGTTGGCCAGGCTGGTCTTGAACTCCTGACCTCAAGTCATCTGCCCTCCTCGGCCTTCCAAGGTGGCTGGACACTGGAATTTAAATTTCATGTAAGTTGCATGTTTCATGAACTATTAATTATTTTCCCCCCAAACATTAAGAAATGTTAAAATACCTTTGTTAGCTTGCAGGCAAGGCAGGAACAGGTGGTGTTCCCAGTTTGACCCATGGGCTATCATAGACTAAGAGGATTAGAAGAAACTGAGTCAGTCTCCCCATTTTACAGAAAGCAAATTGAGGGCTATGCAGAGTGTAAGGGAGGTGCCTAAGTCCCTACAGCCAGATGCTGCATCTAGTCCTGTTTCCTTTCACTGCACCCTACTGCCCTCTGCTGTTAGCAGTGATAAAAACATTTGGTGGAGGGAGATGGGAAATGTGTTTTAAAATGCTTCCACAGTCGGGATAATATAATCGAGGTAACACAGTAGTTCATCCAAAATTATGTAAAAAAATTGCCATGTCATGGAATAGAAAATAATACAAGTAGCTTCACCAGTGAAAGTTTTGTAACCAGCAACGTGAAACTACTAATTGAAATGTTATTGCATGAAACTTTTATGAGAATGTAGAAACCTTCTTTTTGTTTAGAAGATTGGAGAACTCGGAGCCGTGTGCCTGTAGTCTTCAGAACCAGATATTTAGCTTTCTAAGAAGCACTTTGCTCAGCCAGAAGCCTTTAACTCACAGTGTCCTGTAATCTTGCCGCTTTAATGGCCAAAGCAGTTAATAATCTCAGTGATTTTTGTAGTTCCCTCTTTATTATATAGACCTCCTGGCCAGAATGGTCAGGTATTTGCTAGTATTTGCTGGCAGGATCTGAATGTAAGTCATTAATATGTATTAGGGTCAGAGTCATGGGGCTTGACATTCACCACCTTCTGGGCTAATGGTCCTTTGCTCTCACAGCTCCACTGTGGTTACTGTTTAAGAAAGGAAAGGGGGGCCGTGTGCAATGACTCACGCCTGTAATCCCAGCACTTTGGGATGCCGAGGCGGGTGAATCATGAGGTCAGGAGTTCGAGACCATCTGGACTAACGCGGTGAAATCCTGTCTCTACTAAGAATACAAAAAATTAGCTGGGCGTGGTGTTGCACACCTGTAATCTCAGCTATTCAAGAGACTGAGGCAGGAGAATTACTTGAACCCGGGAAGTGGAGGTTACAGTGAGCCGAGATTGTGCCACTGCACTTCAGCCTGGGCTACAGAGCAAGACTCCATCTCAAAAAAGAAAGAAAGAAAGGAAAGAAGTTTCATATACTCCTTTTTTAAAAAAAATTGTGAAATCAATATGTTTTTGTTGTAAAATAGTTCTTTATTACAGAATCACTGATGGCTGGGCGCAGTGGCTCATGCCTGTAATTCTAGCACTTTGGGAGGCTGAGGGGGGCGGATCACTTGAGGTTAGGAGTTTGAGACCAGCCTGGCCAACATGGTGAAACCCAGTCTCTAATAAAAATACAAAAAATTAGCTGGGTGTGGTGGCACATGCCTGTAAGTCCCAACTATTTGGGAGGCTGAGGCAGGAGAATCGCTTGAGCTGCAGTTCAGCC